TGATGCAGGGGGAGAATACGTCTCCACTGCATTCAAAGACCTTCTAAAGGATAATGGCATAGAGATCCTTCAGAGCTCGCCGCATACTCCTCAGGAGAATGGCAGAGCTGAGCGTTTCAATAGGACGCTCATGGACAAAGCAGAGGCAATGCGCCATGATGCTTGTCTACCTCCAACCTGGTGGGAATTCACCGTGGATCATGCAGTCCATGTTTACAACAGGACGCCAATTCGTCGCCTAAATTGGCTTACCCCCTACGAATTGATAAACGGTGAACCGCCATCTGTGGTGCACCTGCGCGTTTTCGGCTGCGGTGCGTACGTCTTCATACCCAAGGACATTAGAAAAAACGGTCTATTGCCCAAATCGGAGCTGATGATTTATCTTGGGGGAGATGGCTCTACAGAGCGCACTGGCGGATGGCTCTTCATGAGAGCACCAGATAATGTTTTGTTCAGATCATCCACCGCGATGTTTGACGAAACTATGTTTCCTAAGTGCCCTTTGACAAATCGTCGGGGTACAACTCGAGTTTGGCCACCTCGAGAAGAAATGATCCCAGAAAATCAACCAAATACCACACCTCAGGTAGATGAGGATGACGATGATGATCATCCAAAACATCACCTTCCTAAAAGGGGAAACGGTCATGTTCATGACGATGAGCAGGAGCTGCAGGATGCGCCCGTAGACCCAGTACCGCCGCCCCATGCACCGGTAGAACACCCTGCGCCCCCAGTGGAGCCGCGACGTTCAGCAAGGGAGCGGAGACCAGTAACTCGTAGAGGTAATGTCTATGGAGAGCAGCGGAAGCCCCAAGACATAGTAAAGGACATCGAAAATCAGGGGAGATGGAAAAAGATGGTCGGTGAGGATGCGGTTAGCTCCCGTACCAAAACCGGACCACAAAGGCAGCAAAGACAACAGGTTCCCGGACCTAGTTCTGCACCAAATCCTCCTCCACGCGACGAACCTGTCGAGTCCACCCCATCCGATGAGGATGAAGCGCAAAGCGCTGAGTTACTACTGGCAGAATTATGCCGGGAAGGGGGAGTTAAGTTAGTCGAGTTGCTGCTTGCAAAAGTGCTACCCACCCTCGACAACGATCTACCAGACGGGACCAGCCCGAGAGAATGGTCATTCCGCGATATACTAAAGCTACCTAAAAAGGAGCTTGAGGAGTGGATGGCAGCGTGTCGCGAAGAACTTGAGGCACTTCGCAAACACAATGTCTATGAACTGGTTGATCGTCCCAAGGGATGTAAGGTCACAAAGAACCGCTGGGTATTCGACGTCAAAACTGACGGTCGTAAAAAGGCCAGATTGGTCGCCAAGGGTTACTCCCAGATTGAAGGCCTTGACTATGATCAGGTCTTCTCTCCAGTCGTACACTTTGAGACTGTACGCCTAATCCTCGCCTTAGCTGCGCTTGAGGATATGCACGTCTCCGGACTCGATGTCCATAATGCCTATCTCTATGGCAAGCTAGATGAGGAGATTTACATGGAGCAGCCTGAAGGCTTTGCAGTACCAGGCCAAGAGCACAAAGTACTCCGGTTACTTCGCGCTCTCTATGGACTCAAGCAGGCAGGGCTTGCGTGGTGGCGCACCCTCAATGAGTCCCTAAAGGAACTTGGCTGTAAATGCCTCGTATCTGATGCCGGAATATTCGTCTATAGGACAAAAGATGGTTGCTTCATGCTGATCATCGTCTATGTAGACGATGCCATATTTTGTGGCAAAGATAAGACCCTAGTCCTATCATTAAAGGACCGCTTCATGAAGAAGTGGGAGTGTCGCGACTTAGGCGACGTCAAGGAATTTCTGCGCATGCGCATAACTCGGAAAGGACGCAAAATCCATCTGGATCAGTGCGCCTACCTTGAGAAAGTGCTGCAGCGCTGTGGCATGCAGAACACGAAATCTGCGCCAACTCCACTCCCTGCTGGATACAAGCCTGTTGCCAATACTGGCACAGCTGACCCAGCGCTTCGAAGCAAGTACCAGACCGTCATCGGTTCCTTGCTATATCTAATGCTTGGAACTCGACCTGACATTTGCTACGCCGTGACATTACTTGCGCAATTTGCAGCAAATCCGTCACAGGACCATTTAAACAGAGCGCTGTATATCTGCCGCTATTTAATTGGTACAAAATCCTATGCACTAGTTTATGAAGGACAAAGCGGCAATGGATTATTGGCGTGCACTGACTCTGACTGGGCGGACAGCCCAGAAGCCAGGAAGTCACGGTCTGGGCACTTCCTAAAGTTCGCAAACAGCGCGTTCAGTTGGCTGTCCAGAAGACAGAAGACAGTTGCCCTGTCATCCACTGAAGCTGAGTATATGTCGCTGAGTGATTGCTCGCGACAAGTAGCCTGGATAAAGATGCTCCTGGAGGAGATCGGCTACAAGCTCGGCCCGCTGCCCATTGTTACGCGACGACTCGCGCTAACTCGGCTAAGGTCGACTCTGGAGACCACTGACCTATTACACAAATAGTCAGTCAACCTAACCCCTAGGACTTACCTACCTGGGCCTAGCGAGCTACACGAAGGAAACCCTGTCCTTCGATGAGAGTGACGATAGATGCCTGGGAGCACAATGCTACCACCAGGATCGAGCAAGCGAGAGTCTGGTGTCGGCTAACTCAGAGGCTTTACTGCAGGGGATGCGAGTGAAGGTTGAGTATAGATTAAACCAGGTCGAAGTTGGGACTTCGACCATCTACCAACTGCAGTATATATACACGAGAGACCTAGGGCGTCTCTATGGTTCAGGGCAGGGTCACAGAGAGAGAACTCGGTAAGGAGCCAATGGGAGACATACTGGAGAAAGGTCGGAAGAACCATAGCAGTCATGGGAGGGGGGGATGAGTCAGAGTGAATAGGGATGAGTCAGAGTCCGGAGGAATGAGTCATGGGAAGCATGAGGGATATAGTGGAGAGCCAATGGGAAGCGTCCTCGGTGTGAGTACCACACCAGTCCCTATCTAAGTATAGTACAGGCTCGAGTCATGAAGGGGGAATGACCTAGCCTTGGGAGTCATGAGAACAGAGCGGTGCGGAGCCGGGCCGAGGGATCGGGCCGGGCTCCAGTCATGTGGGACGCGATGGCGGCAAGGGGAAGGGAACCGGTCCGGGAGAATGGTAGGGTTAGGTGTATGTCACGTGTTCCAGGATGCAGTAGCGCGCATCCTGACATTCGTAACACCCATCTGCTCGGACAATCAGGGAGCAATATTTATTAGCTCCAACCCTATCACGGAGCGTCGGTCTAAGCACATTGACATTCGCTACCACTACGTGAGGGAGCTAGTAGAAGACAAGAAAGTCGAAGTCTTCTACGTAAGCACTGATGACAATCCAGCAGATCTGTTCACTAAGAACTTGGGTCGTATCAAATTTCTCAAATTCAGAGAAATGCTTGGACTAAGATTCTATGATTAAAGTCCATTATAGTCGGCTGCACCATGCGCCATTTAATGCTTGCGCGCATCTACCGCTGCACTTAGCAAGGGGGAGTGTTGAACAATAGAGAGCGCCTAACTAGGCAGCCGAGTTCACACACCGGTACTCCGGGTAACAGGAGTAACACATGCATTGTAGATAGAATCACATGCATCAGGATTGGTACTATACAGTAGCTTAGTCAGACGGTCTCCTACATGTATATAAGGACCCCTGTAGCGTAGTACAATCCTAAGTCGCTCAACAGCAACTTTGTGTGCATCAAGCCTCACAGCTTAACAACCAGGTAAGTTAGCGTCCCGCTACACTGCGTAAGGAAGCCTGCTCGTCACAAGGGTACTCATGCAGTTTCTGTGAACTCACCATAGCATTCCTAGATGCCCACCCCGAGAACATGGTCACGGTGGAATGGACCCCAGGACACGAAGGCATCACCGGAAACGAGATGGATGATGAACTAGCCAAGCAAGCCGCTGATGCTGCACCACCACATCGCCTCGCCTCACGCGCAGCCACACGACGCGAAGCAAGGGAACGGGCACACGCTGCCTGGACAGCGGAATGGAAGAAAAGCCCTGCGACGGGCAGATTTGCGACAGCCAACCGCCTCCCACCGAGCGAGAAACCGAGGAAACATTTCAAGCGCCTCAAGCGAGAAGTATTTGGGAGGGTAGTGCAGTGTCGGACAGGACACGGTTTTACAGGCGAGTACTACCGCATACATGTACCTCACGAACCCGATGACTGCCCCTGTGGAGCCCCTTCCAGACGCGGCAACACATCCTCCAAGACTGCCCCAGGTACGAGGCAGCACGGCACATCCTACGGGAAGCGAGCGAACACATCGACCTCCCCACCATCCTTGGCACCGACAAGGGCATCGACGCCCTCGCCAAATTCCTCGAGCAAAGCGGCGCATTCACGAAGACTGGAGAGCCGCCACAAGGAGACGCACCAAGCGCAGAGCCGTCGGAGGCTTACGAGCTAGATGCTCAGGACAATGAAGACGACGACCCCGACGAAGTCGGCGAGGTCGAACACTCGGACGACGACGAGGACGCACGATGAGCGGCGATCGTTGCACGGCGACCGCACGCACACACCCACTCCCCCTCCTCCTCCAACACACTCGTGCACGCGGGGAACAATCCCGGCTTGGGCCCTGCGTAGAAGACTGGAGCGCTGGTTATGGATCATGGTCATGTTTTTGTTTTTGTTTCTCTTTATCTCTTACTGTACATACAACATGGACAGCGAACGCGTATATCCGCACATACAGGGACACCCACTATAGACACTACAGTTATCTCCCCATTACTCCATAGACCTACTACATTACTTCGTATATACTTAGAGCCGACAGGGGCTCCGGTCCGCCTTACAGCGGGCTGGCGCCCGCCGCGTCTTAGCACATTAGAGTTGCTCGTTGCGGGATATAAATGCAGAGTTCATCATCATCAGTGAAAGTAAGACCGAATGTATTTTAGCTTTGGGCAGTCTTCACAGCGTTTAAAGGCTCACTTACATCGGTTCCCATCGATTAGTGGTCAGATCATCACGTTGTGGCTCATGCGAAACCGTGGAGACGGGGGCTCGACTCCCCCTGGGAACATATTTTATTGCATTTCCCGTCCAGACCGCAAGGACCTGAGCATTGATATCGCACTTTGTAACTATGTTGGACTGCGAGATGTACATTTTGAAATTTACAGTACTGAGAGCCAGACTACTGCGTCCCGCCATGGCAGTAATCACTATAGATACTAGGGCTATCGTACCTGCTCAAGCTGAAGGAAAACTATACTATACTGCTATGTGAATGCTCACAACGTCTTCCCTTAAAACACGTCGACCAAGCCGCGTCTGGGGGATGCGACTGCCACTGGTTTGCTGGTGATGTCGAACACATTACCTCGCTCATATGCTACGAGGTCGCCGCCATCCTCATCCATCCACCCTTGAATATCCAACAGCTTCTCGAGATTCGTGGTCACCAGTGCCTGAGCCTTCTCTCTTGTGATCCTTCCGTTAGTCTCCAAAGCAGCCTGTCATCCTTATTCAGGATACTCCGGGTATTGACAGAGAAAGAGACGCACCCAAGCGACGTCAAACCTAGCATTCACGGGTTGCCACGCGTCGCGGCATCCGATTGCTACGGTGACGCCAGCATCCACGAGTACCGTGAGGGAGGTCTCGTTTGTGAGAGGCGGGCCCGCCAGACTGACGAACCCGGTTCAGTATACAACGACGAAGCGACGAAGAATAACGTACATCCTACGGTCGTCCCATACTAGCGGGAAAGGCCGGGCAGGCTCGAGGATAACACCGGCCTTGGCTTCAGCTAGATACCAACCTGTATAAGACGATGTCATCCTATGATAAGGCGGATAGCTCACCAATCTCATGGGCGATGAGGTGAGCTTCCGTCGCACGGAAAAACACCATCTTGACGGACGAGCCTCTCGCTTGCTCAACCTCGACCTTCAGCTTCAGCAAGACGGCCATGATATCCGCACTCGCGACATCGATGACCAACGGTATCACGCCCTAAGTTTCCTCTATTAACTTCATGACATCACCCGCCTAGCCATCCTTACCTGAGCAGCTCGCTTGAACCAGTACCCAGTCTCCGTGTCTTCCGGCTCGCCATTGAGAAGCAGGCGTCGTAGAATCGCGATTTGAGTACTGACACTCGCCTGCCCGACAGATGCAGATGGTGCAGTGCGGCTGAGGACGATGTGCAGTGCTGTTACCTCCTTGATGATAGCACCCTGTTCGAGGGCATGTCCTGAACCGGTGCGGAAAGTCACAGACAACCCCGCGATAAACGCCGGTGAGGTGAAGTAAGTAGTCTTCTCCAGAGAAGATGTCGCATACGTGACGCCTGCACGGTGCGCCAGCCTATGGCATTGCCGGTCAGACTAGGAGACGAGTAGGATGTAGGACGTTAACTCACAATGCGTTCCGCGTGCCAAATTTGAGTGCGTCGGCGGTACGCACTAATCCACCCTTGTCGCCGAGGATAGAAGGTGGGTCACCGTGTAGAGGGTCAAAGAGTGTCCCATCTCCTGTCGACGACTCGAGCATGATCTCTTCGAGCCCCAACGGCGATCCGAAGGTCATGATGCTAGGAGTGATAGCTCCTCCGTGCAAATCCAGTTCGACTTCCGCGTTCACACCTCCCAGACAGTGCTTGCCAATGCAAGTGATGCGCCCGCCATCGATCACAACGTCTGACGATTCTCCTGGCTCAAGGAGGATCTTGAGACCGTTCACCGCGTCTGGGTCCCTGATTGTCACCTCCCCAACGTTCCGCAACAGTACTCGCCCTCTGAATTGCTTAGACGCAAGAGGAGGGAGTCCCTCCCACTTGATCGCCTCTTCCCGTTCTTTGTCCCAGTTCGGCACGTAGGGTTCTTCTTGGAAGTCGCGGGTTTCTTTGCCTTTCCCGATGATTATCCCATCCTCGTCGGCGCCGACTTGCAATATGCCATCAATCCAAACCTTACGAGGTGTCGCGCCAAGTTGGAGGGGGTGAGAATCCCAGACGATGACGTCGGCGTCAGCGCCTTCTTGTAGCATGCCAATACGATGCGACATCCCCGCAGCTCTCGCGGGCTCGACAGTCACGGACATCAATGCAAGGTGCGTTGGAAGGCCTGGAGGATGGGATGTCAATACGACGCATACTCGTCGAGAATATGTCTCTCACCCCAGTAGTGTGCTTGCTGCGCCTCATACATCAGGTAGCGGCTGTTCAAGATTGGATGATCGGACTGTAACAGTGGGTGTTGGATGCGAGACGACACTACAATGCAACACCCTCACCTTCATGACAACAGGAAGGCCGTTATCAGCAAGAACTCGAGGGGCAAAACCTGAACCACGGAAAGATTCACGCTTATAGCGGTGGACTTCGGCAAACATTGCAACTGTCGGTGTGCCGCCCCAGCTTTTTGATTGTGAATATGGTCCCACTGACAGGGCAAAAGAGGTCGTGCACTCACGTTTGCTTCAGCAAGTTGGGAACAAGCCAAGCTTCGGATGCGTGGTGGAAAGATGTGATTGGGAACTCAAACTCGTTGGTAAGCTATGCGACCCGGAGTTAGCGTGCCACTAGCAATATCTAAGTGATATAAAGTGATGCGTACCCTGACCATGCTATCGAGGTCAACTTCCTCGTAGCAATGTGTAGAGATCTAGGCAACGTGAGACGTCTGACAACTCTATACGTGCCAAGTGTCGCGCACCTTGACTCGACCTCTTAGTACGTCTACCAGTGTTTCCCATTGGTAGCTCTCAGGGTAGTCCTGCCCCTTCAACTCGTCCCATAGCCCCGCCTCTGCCTTGGCACAATAGACATCCTGGGACAGCTTGACCTTTCGTGCCTCATTGTAGGCCCAACGGTAGGACCACATGGAGTCCATGCGGTTGCCATATGCAGCCAGACTTTCCCCACATGCCTGTCTGCATAGCATATTATCAGCTCTGTTGTAGACAGGCCAACACAAGGGTGTTACTTCAGGTGACGCCAACGAAGCGAATGCTCGGAGCTAGAGCTTCCATTCAAGCTGTGTGGAGGCTCAAGAACCATGGAAGAAGGTGTGCGATCGGACGTCTTGCGCAGTTTGAACATGAACGCTTGCCCAGCTGCAATTGTGTGACGACTCAGAGGAGTACCCGCGAAGTAGAACATGGAGCTTGCGTACCGATGGCATTGCCACTACCAGGAAGGACTTGAGCTGAGGTCACACCACCTGCAATAGCAAGTTGAAATGCATCATCGTGTGTGTTGAATGCGTCGATGCTCCTCAGCCATGGCAGAATAGGGCCATGCTCAGAGTTCACATCCTGAGCGCCATGGAGGTCAGGCGAGCTCGACACCCCAAGATGGGAGTGCAGGTCCACTGAAGAAGTTTCATTCAGACTGTGGATAGCGAACACAGTACGAGAGGAACATGCGCACCAAGACCGGGCGTGACCCAGTTGCCCTTCGCGTCGATGACTGTCACGTCGCGCTGGCGAGCGTACAGTGCCTCTGGGATGTACCCAATGCCTTTCACCACACCCTTGTCAAGAAAGACGTCTCCGTATACGATCTCGGTGCCGTTCCGTGCGCCCGTCCAGATCCTCGCATTCTTGATGAGAGTCGGCTTGGTTCCCGGTTCTAACCTGTCGGATTCTTCGCGAGCAAGGAAGTTTGCCGGAGGCCCAGGAGTCTCGCGCAGGGATACACACTGTGACAAGATGACCTCGGCATGGAGCGGGAGGTGGTGAGCGCGTTGAGACGTCGCGGAGTGTTCAAGGAAGTTGTTGCACGTGAGAACTGTCGCGGTAACCACAGCGGCACAGAGCGCCAAGAGCAGCGTTCTAGGCACCGACGGACGGCGACGGGCGTCGGGGACACTCGACGAGCCCAGTTCTCCGTACGCCAACTTAGTGGCCATGGTGGATGTCGGCAGGAACGCGGGCTGGGGAGAACGGCGCCCCTTGTATGCGGTCGAACACGCCGGCGGCAACTCGACTCGAGGCGGCGAGGTTCCTCACGCATATATTGGTACCCGCGTGTTTTCCATGCCGAGACATAGGGGTACGATAGGGTTGACGGTTTTCACCTCTTATACGGTCCCATATCGTAATCTTAGGGGATGGACGCATACACCAGGCAATCAAAGTCGACGATAACATGAGTATAGTACGTACGGAGACAACTGCTGGACCTCTACACCACTCCTACTCCCAATAATGCAGCACCACCCTTTATCGCTCTGCCACGAGCAGCATACACGCTGATCGCGACGCAACTGAGCAGAAATCCTGTGAACCTAAGGACGACAACGGATCCGCAGCCGATGGAGCTGGTGAATGTCGCATACCGCGCAGCACTGCTGAAGATGCGTACCTGAAGAACGCAACCCGAGACAATGACCGCTCCTCTAGAGTAGTTCGTGAAGACGCAAAAATGGACCGGAGGACTGCGGGTGTGACTGGGATACGGCTAGTCCGTTTTCCGGGCGGAGGCGGTGGGCCTGGGTAGTCACTGAGATTGACGTTGGATGGCGTCGCGGTCACTGAAGAAGAGGATGATAGACTGCTCATAGCTCTAAGTAACTTGGTTGGAGCCCGACCTGCAGTGCTCGACGGTGCGGTGGTGACGTAATGACCGTCGTAGCGTAAGATTGAAAGCGCCGCGGCCGTCTTACGCGAGGACTCCCACAACAAGATCTATACGGTCTACGCTACGACATGGAATTCGGTCATAATGGGTATAAGTAACGGCTATGCATATCAGTCTAGAAAGCATGATGCAGATGATACATGGAACGTGAAGGGACTGGGATACGATACAAAAATGGTCGTGAGCAGTGCGGTACGGGGAGTGCGAGGCCTTGTCCGTGCTGACTGTATATGCGAAGTCGGATGATGGTGTGAACGTAATGCCAATAAGAACATATAAGTACGGTCAAACAAGCGGCATTAAAAAGAAATCGTATAGATGCATGCGAGACTCGTGTATGGATCATGATACAGGCTCTTTCACCTCCAATGGCGTGAACGAGTTCGAACGCTGGAAGAACCAGACGTTGCGCAAGGATCGGCGTGATACGATAC